TGTTTTTTTTTCTTCTCAGGCAGGAGCCATGCAGGATATTCCCAAGTTGTGGTCGAACCCACGTCTCCTGCATTGGAAGTACAAAAGGGTAACCACCGAGAATCCCACTCCCGGCCCAGCTCAGTGTCTTCTGCTCTGGTCGCTGAACTTTTTGTGTCCCCGAAGTTACTATATTTGGCCATGGACATCTAGGGAGTTTTCTTGCCTCATTTCAGCGCAAATTGAGGCAACCTTTTAACTCCTAACCGCACGACGTGGCATGAGGGGTTTTAGTTCCCAATTAATAGCGGAGGGGGGTGAACACGAGCTTCATAATTGTTAACTTTTGCCTCTTGCCCTTTTCGTGGTTTGGAATTAAGGTGGGGTTGGTGTTAACCCTTTCAAACGTTGTCTTCCAAGTCCTTCATTTGGTGATTCGCCCCACAACTTCTCAGCCTGTGGTACTCAAACTGTGGGGGCACTTCCGTTTTACGAGGGGAAGTGCCGCCATGTTTTGAGTGTTACCGGTTGAGAGAGTAGCTTCCACTTGGTGAAATCGTCAGTGATTTTTAAAACTCAAATTTAGTAAAATTGCACATTTTTAAAAGATACTGAAAATATTTTGAGAAATTGTAATATTCATAATTGTTTAAAAAAAACGTTTAAAATACCTTTTAATAGGGTGTTGGATTTAAAGAACTCAGAAGTGATCCCTACATCAATGCTTTATATGAATATGCAGAGATTCAGAGGAGATAATATGAACAGAATTCGATTTGTTCTTGCTTGTTTTTTTCTGTCCGTCACCCTTCCTCTAGGTCTCAGTCTCTCAGCTTCCACACTATTCACCTTGTAAAGCGCTGTACATAGTTTAGAATGTTTGCCAAGACCCCTGGCATTCTCCACAAAAGGTTGAAGGTACTCCATTGCCTTCCCCAGTTGTGACAACCAAATGTGTCTCCAAACTTTGCCAGATGTCCCCTGGGGAGGAAAAAAACACCCTCAGTCAAAAACCACTGCCCTGGACTATAAAATCCATGGTTTTATTCACCCCAAACACCCCAGACACTAGCAAGCATGCCTTGGTGTGTCTTATGTTCTCAACAAATAATTGCTAAATCGTAAATAGTTGAATGAATAACCGAGTCCGCAGAAGGTACAGTTATGTTTTGGAGGGTACTTCTATGCATTTTCCTAATTTGTTTATGATTTGTTTGTTCCGGTGGTCTAAACAATGAAGGAGTCAACGGTTTAAAAAAAAAAAAAAATTATTGGAGGGTGGGTCTGACTCAGAATGGGGCAGGGTGGGTCTGGGTGGAGACCTGTGGAGGGGAGTGGTCTTCCCCTCGAAGGCTGGGTCTTTGGCTTATATAAGAGGTTGGCGGGTCACAGACCTGACTCCCTGGCGAAAGAAGCAATGAGAGTCTGCATTATGTGAGTATCACCTGAACATTCTTTTTGCTTAAGTTGTTCACCCGTTTCTCTTTCCAGCTGCTCTTCTATTTTCAATGTTTTATTTCTTTCAGTCTCATGAAGTTGCACTGGGTTGCTACCTCTTTCCGAAGCTACCTTTTCTCATTTAAACTGCCCTTGTGTATTCTAATAGGATTTTTCGGTTTTGTTTTTTTTTCTTCTCAGGCAGGAGCCATGCAGGATATTCCCAAGTTGTGGTCGAACCCACGTCTCCTGCATTGGAAGTACAAAAGGGTAACCACCGAGAATCCCACTCCCGGCCCAGCTCAGTGTCTTCTGCTCTGGTCGCTGAACTTTTTGTGTCCCCGAAGTTACTATATTTGGCCATGGACATCTAGGGAGTTTTCTTGCCTCATTTCAGCGCAAATTGAGGCAACCTTTTAACTCCTAACCGCACGACGTGGCATGAGGGGTTTTAGTTCCCAATTAATAGCGGAGGGGGGTGAACACGAGCTTCATAATTGTTAACTTTTGCCTCTTGCCCTTTTCGTGGTTTGGAATTAAGGTGGGGTTGGTGTTAACCCTTTCAAACGTTGTCTTCCAAGTCCTTCATTTGGTGATTCGCCCCACAACTTCTCAGCCTGTGGTACTCAAACTGTGGGGGCACTTCCGTTTTACGAGGGGAAGTGCCGCCATGTTTTGAGTGTTACCGGTTGAGAGAGTAGCTTCCACTTGGTGAAATCGTCAGTGATTTTTAAAACTCCTAGTGTATGAGTCTTTGGTCGAGCTGTCTAATGTGAATACACGTTAACAAAAGGAATAACTGGGGGCCTGGTAATGAATGGGGAGTGTCCTTATCTTAATGTTAACATTGTCTCCTTAACACCAGTGACTTACAGAGATCACTAAACTTTCAGTAACCCAGACCGGGATGCTCAAAATAGGGGTGCTTGCCGATATGTGACTGGAAAGTGCTCCCATTTCGAGCGTCCCTGCGTGGGAAAACCACCTAATGGTTGGCATCTGCGATATCTGCTCGCGTTTACCGATCCTGGACTTCATTACTGACTCCCTTAGGTTTGTCTTGGGTCGAGATTCTGTCAGCAACCCAAGGCCTTCTGTTCAATAATGGGTTTTACTTCCAATTCCAGAACTTTTGTCTAATCTGCAGTGTTCAATACGTTGCTCCATTAAAAGCTCTGCCTATTGTAATTTTATTTCAACAATAATTAAAAGCTATGCCTGTTATAATTTGGTTTTAAGTGTTAATAAAACTACCTATTTTGTGTGCTAGTCACTATTTCCAAAGTTGGTCCTTGGAACACTGGGAAGTTTCTGGGGGTTGCCGGAAACTGGGTGTATCTTGGTGGCTCAGGGGTCTCTAAGGCTGGAAAAACTTGTTTTACATTAGCACAATGGGGCTGTCCTTAAAATGTAAGGGGTGCAGGTTCAATCCCTAGTGAGGAAAAATGATCCTAGATCCTATCCTGCATGTTGCTCAGGATTAAGGAAGCCATGGAGGCAGTTTCTAGGGCTCACAAGCATTCCTTGGGTTGGGGATTAACACAAGTCATGTTTGGGAACCCCGGGACCAGGGACTAGTTATGTGGGAGACAGTTTACCATGGGAGTGGGGGCATGGTTCATGTGAGGCAGAAATGGGAGCCACAGATAAAGCTTTGCCTCACCCTATGTGACCATCCCTCTGTAGCCAGGGTGGAGCATCTTTAGGGGTGGCTGCCATGGTCTCATTTTCAAGTTTTGGCTAGTAGATCTTGGGGTATAAAATACCCTTCAAGGCTAAAAGGAATTTGCAGCTTTCTGACAAGCTCTACACAGATTGGTAGTGTTACAAGTGCACAAATGGTTTTAATTTAGGGCTTACCTGGTGGCTCAGAGGGCTAGAAGAATCTGCCTACAATAGCAGTTATATCTGGTGACCCTACTGCTAATTTAGGAGATGAGAGATGTGGGTTTAGTCCCTAGAGGTTGGGAAGGTCCCCTGGAGAAGATGGTAACCCACTCGCAGTAATCTTTCCTGGAAAGTGGGCAGGTGTCTTTTGGGGTCCCAAAAGTTGAGCAGTCTGGGGCTTCCCAGTGCACCAGCCCATGGCACTTTTGAGGGATGGGAGGGGGAATCAGAATGGGGAATGCATGTAAACCCACGGCTGATCCATGTCGATGTATGGCAAAAACCACTACAATGCTGTAAAGTAACTAACCTCCAACTAATAATCAATGAAAAAGTCTAGGTGTTTAACACTCAATGTTAAGAATTAAATACAAGTTTAGAGTTTTTTCAGAAGTTCAAGTGACTGAACTATGACCTTAGTTTTTTTTTTTTTCCATTTATTTTTATTAGTTGGAGGCTAATTACTTTACATCATTGCAGTGGTTTTTGTCATACACTGAAATGAATTAGCCATGGATTTACATGTATTCCCCATCCCGGTCCCCCCTCCCACCTCCCTCTCCACCCGATCCCTCTGGGTCTTCCCAGTGCACCAGGCCCCAGCACTTGTCTCATGCGTCCAAGCTGGGCTGGTGATCTGTTTCACCCTAGATAATATACATGTTTCGATGCTGTTCTCTTGATGAACTATGATCTTAGAATCAATGGGCTAGCAGTCTGCCAAGATCCTTAACCTACAGGTGAATGTGGAAGGTTACTTCCCAGGGCTCTGCTTAGAATTGGATTTGGAGATAAAGCTTCATGTAAGTTTTCTTGGTAATAATTGGGTAATTCTGAAATCTAAAATACAGTTGATATGATTACTGGTGTGTAGTAATGGTGATTCACAATTTTTAGCGGGAAATCCTGGCCATTATAGTCGGGACATCCCATATTTGAGAAGTGTTCTGTAGCCCTCCCCAAGCCACTTCAGCCACTGAATGTACTTGAGTGTCCAGTAAATCCTGGGAGTCCTGTGTTGCTAGTTTTAAACTAAGTCTTACCCAGTGGCTCATCAGTAAAGAATCCACCTGCAATGCTGGAGATGCAGTTCTGACTACAAAGCCAGAAAACTCACCTTTATCTTAAGGTGTACTCTCAACTTTTAAGCCCACAGATTCCATTAGCCTTCAGCTTTATGACAGCCTGTGCGTGTGCTGAGTCCCTTCAGTCATATCTCACTCCTTGTGACCCCATGGGCTGTAGCCTGCCAAGCTCCTCTGTCCCTGGGATTCTCCAGGAATACTGTTGCCATGCCCTCCAGGGTATCTTCCTGACCCAGGGATCAAACCCTCTCCTCCATTGGCAGGCGGGTTCTTTACTACTGGCACCACCTGGGAAGCCCTTATGACAGCCTAGGGATTGCTCTTAAGTGGGTCAGGTTACCCCTAGTTCAATCAGCCTTAAAAAGTCTCATGAATTTAGGGTTGCCAGAGGGGAAGGATGGGGGGAAGGGGTAGTTTGGGATGGATAACGTACTGCTTTATTTAAGATGGATAACCAACAAGCAGCATCAAGCTCCTTATCGGGACCTCCTGTTGTGAGAAAAGTCAGGCAAGCAGACCTGGCAGAGGTGCGTGATTATGGAAACAGTTCCTTAACACTTTGTCGTGGGAACTGTCAGTGTATTTTTATTTTCTACGATGTGTATAGCAGGACTTCACAAGATGCCAACAACTCTCCCCAGCCCAGTGTCCTGTGACAATGCCGAGTGTCCTGGGAGAGGGGAGGTTGGGGGTACTGACAAAAATCACCCTCAGTTGAGAGCTTCTGTTCTAGAATCATCTGGGACCCTGCCCTGGATTCTCTCCGTAGCACCAACTCTCCAAACTAAAATTGCACCCTCTTGCACAGGGATCGCACAGACCCCAAGCAGCAAAGATTATCCTGCAGAGGGTCTTGTCTTGAGGAAGTAAAGAGACAGAGATCATCGTTGATTCACGGGTCCTGGACGGTCCTCTTCTGTCCTGACTTTAAGTGAAGAACCAGCAGCTTCAGCCACTCAGCAGCCAATGTCTAAGTAAGGTTTTGTCACTCGAAGTGCCGCCAAACTTCGGTGGGTCATTTTATTCAGGTCCATGCCAAACAACCTGAGGACACAAGATGGGAAATATTCGAGGCCACTATGGTGGCATTCAGTCTTGTCCTGCTCGGTTAAAATATGTTAATTCCATTAAGTAGTTCTTCATTGTAAATCAAATACTATCGGGAGATAAGCTTGCTCTAAGCTACACCCCATTTTTAAGACCATAGCCTGTGTTAACCAATTTGTAATCATCTTACAAGAGGGCTTCTCCTGGTGGCTCAAACAGTAAAGAATATGCCTGCAGTGCGGGAGACCCGGGTTCGATCCCTGGGTGGGGAAGACCCTTGGAGGAGGAAATGCAACCCACTCCAGTGTTCTTGCCTGGAGAATCCCATGGACAGAGGAGCCTGGAGGGCTGCAGTCCATGGGGTCACAGAGTCGGACACGACTGAGCACACTGACTTTCCCGACCCTGAGCCCCGGGTCCCGTCTCGTCCAGAGTCAGGGACCATCTCTCACCAGAGGACTCGGAGCTTGCAACCCGGGTCGCTCAGCCTCTTGCATAGCAGCCTGACACCTGTGTTCCCCAGGGCATTGTTGGTCAGATAAAGGTCTGTGAGGGTCTGGTTGACGCCCAGGGCGGAGGAAATGTCCTCACACGCTTTGCCCGTGAGGCTGCAGCTGTCGAGCCTGTGGAAGACGAGAAGTGGTTAAAGCAATGTGGGCAGGTCCGGTTGGAAAGTGTCGGCCTCGCAGGGAATCAGGGTGATGTTTTTAGGAATCAGTTTAAGAGAAAAGTAGACTAGAACCAGAGCAGTCCAGGTTAAGGCCGATGTGGTGAGGGAAAGGCATTTAAAGACATTTAAAGGCATTTAACGACACTCCCCTTTGCTGTACAGTAGGAACTAACACAACGTTGTAAAGCAACTATATTCCGCTGAAAAGTTAAGGTTTTGATCTTCTTTATTTTTAATTTTTGGTTGTGCTGAGTCTTCGTTGCTGTGTGGGCTTTGCTTGTGGTGAGTGGGGGCTACTCCCTAGTTGTGGCGCTCAGGCTTCTCATTGCGGTGGCTTCTCTTGTTGCAGAGCTTTAGCTTCTGCAGGTTCAGCTCATGGGCTCAGTGGTTGTGGCTCATGGGCTCTCGAGCTGAGGCTTAGTAGCTGTGGCACTCGGGCTTAGTTGGTCCCTGACATGTGAGGACTTCCTGGACCAGGAATCGAACCCGTGTATCCTGCACTGGCAGGCAGACTCTTTACCACTGAGCCACCACTGAAGCCCCCAAATTAATTTTTTAAAACAAAAGAAGAAAGGGAAAAAAAAAAAGATTTCTCAATTCACAGCTCCATCTGTAATGGATATCCTGATTCTGCAGCCAAGAATTTCTCCTTCTGGTCATTCTATCCCAATGTCTCATTGAAACCCCCATCTCAGGGATTAATGTCTACAAGCTCTAGAAGTAGATATAGGGTCCAGGCCTAAGCTGGTTGGTTTCCTTGTCCCCAGCCACCACGAGTGGTTCCTTCTGGGCACAGAATCCATCCAAACTGAGTGAATCAGAATCACACTTTCCCTAGAGATTTTTTGTTCAGAACTTGCACCTGAAAAGAAGTCATCTACAGAGCTGCAGACATTTTGCCACCATGTATTGGATCAAGGCTAACCTTAATGCAGAATGGAGTCAATACAGCAATAAGTAAAGAAGATACTGGAGATCAAATATCTGAATGCCTAGATCAAGCCATACCTGAAACCTACACTTCCAGTTGCACAACTTGATCAATGCTCTCCCCCACCTTTTTTTTTTTTTTTAAAACAAGAGCCTTCCTTGCTGGATGCTGAATTCCTTAAAGTCAGGGATCATGTATTGTTTCTTTTCTTAGTACTTATAGGGCTTCCCTGGTGTCTCAGATGGTTGAGAATCTGCCTGCAATGCAGGAGACCCTGGTTCAGTCCCTAGGTTGGGAAGATCTTCTGGAGTANAATAAATAAAAGAGGAAGACATGCTGTCCCTAAGCCCTCATCTTTGTTTCCAGTTACCCAGGGCCCCAGATAAGCAAGAGAGTAATGAAGAGAAAAAAATTAAAAATAGATAAGCCCTGGACTTCCCTGGTGTGTTCCAGTGGTTAAGAATCTGCTTGCCCATGGAGGGAGCACAGGTTCGATCCCTGGTCCAGGAAGATCATACATGCCAGGGAGCAACCACAATTACTGAGTCAGCGCTCTACAGCTGGTGAGTCACAGCTACTGAAGCCTGCCTGCCTAGAGCCTCTAAGAGATTCTTGACCATCTGAGCCACCAGCATAGACTCACAAGAAGAGAAGCCAAGGCGGTGAGAAGCCCTTGCCCCGAAACAAAGAGTAGCCCCCGCTTGCTGCAACCAGAGAAGAGCACTGAAGACCCATCACAGCCAAAAATAAGTTAATTAATATAATTAATTAAAAAAATAGACACAGCCTCCTCTCATTCTAAGTCTTTTGGGAGGAAGGGATGGGCTGGTATTGGGAGAAAGGGGAAGGAAGAAACATTCATTAACACTTGACTGAAGTTTATTCTGGACCAGACTGAATTTTTAAAAAACTATTTATTATTTATTTGACTGCATCTTGTTTTAGTTGAGGCATGTGTGATCTAGTTCCTTGACCAGGCATTGAACTCGGGCCCCCTGCACTGGGAGCTAGGAGCCTTAGCCATTGGACGACCTGGGAAGCCCCAGATTGAATTTTTACTATGTAAAGGTTACCAGAAAGCTATAAATCTGCCCAAGTAAATGCCCAGAGAAAAGGGGAGTTTTACAGAATGTGTTTAGAAGCAATGACTGGATGGAAAAATTTAGCCTCTTCTGTTTGTATTCCAGAGGAATGAATTACTCTGTGACTCATTCACACAGCTTTTCTTTCCACCTCTGAGCATCTTGTATCTTCCAGAGAGATGGAGGGATGGAAGGATAACGATCCAATAGAAAAAAGACAAGGACAGGAAAACACTCGGTGCCGCCCACCCCGCCCCTGCCAGGGACCAGCATCACACCCAGCAGCCCTGCCTCCCAGCCACTCACCAGAGCTTCTGGAGTCTGCAGGTGGGGTGTCGCAGCCCCTGACACAGCAAGGACATGCCGCGGTCCCCCAGGTCATTAAAGCTCAGGTCCAGCTCCCGAAGGTGGGGGCTGAGCCCCAGCACAACAGAGAGACCCTCACAGGCCGCAGAGCTGAGCCGGCAAATGCCGAGCCTGGGAAGACATTAAGCACAGGAGAGAGCTGGCTCATTCCTTCTGAAATTTTTGGGGGGAAAGAGAGGGGTTGGATCTTACTTCCTCCACCAGGGATTGAACCCAGGTCCTTGGCAGTGAAAGCAGGGAGTCCTAACCACTGGACCACCAGGGAATTCCCAGATGTCTTCAGTTTAATGGGGTGGAAAACACTACTGTATTAACTAGTGAATATTACGCAAAAGACTCAGACTCACAGATACAAGAACAAACTAGTGTTTACAGGTGGGGAGAGGGGATGGGGCAGGGGCGAGATGGAATTGACAGTCCTGCTGCTTTTTTTTTTTTTGCCCCACCCAGCAGCTTCTGGGATCTTAGTTCCCCAACCAAGGATTGAACCCCAGCCCCCAGCAGTGAAAATGCAGTGTCCTAACCACTGGACCGCCAGGGAATTCCCCATTTTATTTTTTTTTTTAATTTGCTTTTTCATCTGTTCCATCATTTCAAAATATAATCTCTGAGCCAGATCTTATGTTAGTCATTGGAATACGTTGCCACAATGTGTTGTTCCTGCACTTCAGGAATACAACACACACACACACAAATTTTGATAAGTGACACTGAGGAGAAAAATAAGGTCAAATAGGATCCTAAAAGTAATCTTATCTAGGAGTTGGAGAAGGTGTGCATAAAGAAGAAGCATTTGCTTTGGATCCTAACAGATGAAACAGGTATTATCAGGGTGAAAAAAAGGAGAAATCAGAGCAGAAGTGCATTTCAGGGGGACTTCCCTGGTGGTCCAGTGGCTAAGACTCCAGGCTACCAATGCAGGGGGCCTGGGTTTGATCCCTAGTCAGGAAACTAGATTCCACATGCTACAGATAAGAGTTTGCATGCCACAACTAAAAATCCTGCATGCTGCAAGTAAGACCCTGGGGGCAGCTAAATAAATAAATAATAAATAAAATAAATATTAAAAGAGAGAGAACAGGTGTTAGTAAGGATGTGGAGAAATTGGGACCTCTTTGCACTGTTGGTGGAAATGTAAAATGGTGCAGTGGCTACCGAAAATAGTATAGTGGCTCCTCAAAAAATTAAAAATAACTGTGTGTGTGTGTGTGTGTGTGTGTGTGTTCAGTTGCGATCGACTCTTTGCAAACCCATGAACCTGCCAAGCTCCTCTGTCCATGAGTAGGTTGCCATTCCCTTCTTCTGGGGATATTTCCCACCCGGGGTTTGAACCTGGGTCTCCTGCATTGCAGGCAGATTCTTTACCCTCTGAGCCATAGGGAAGCCCATATGAGGTCCCTAGAGGAGTCAGATTCACAGAGACACTGGGTAGAACTCACCACAAAATCCGCAGCCTACAGACTGGGTGCCTCAAACCTTGACACAGGAGCCTCAGGCCCGCATCTTCCAGTGCATTTCCTGTCAGGTCCAGCTCCAGCAGATGGCGACTGGTGCTGAGCACAGAGGCCAGCNCAACCTGTTCCCCACCCCCCATCCTTTGACCTCAAGGGATTTTTTTTGTTTTGCTTTTTGGGTTTTTGGCTTGTTTGTTTGTTTAGCTGCACCTCATAGTGGCTTGTGGGACCTTAGTTCTCACACCAGGGATTGAACCCTGATGCTTGGCGGCGACAGGACGGAGTCCTAACCACTGAACCACCAGGGAATTCCCTCAAGCCAGTTTTCATCAGGTCTCAGCTTTCTGTTACATGTGCCACCATGTCTAAAGTCACTGACTAAAATAAGGATAATAACTGTGCTGGCCTCAGAGGGTTGTTGTGAGGATTACACAATTTATTAAAAGCAGTGGGTATAGAACCAGCCTGATACATGGTCAGTGCTCCGTCAGTGTGAGCTACCGTTTGTTGAACATCCCGGTGGAGGGGCCTCTTCACCCAGCTTTGGCAAATGGTGTGCAGTGAGGGAAGGCTCTCTGGGAGGATTTGAGCTGGTTTTCGAAGGGTAAGTAGAAGTTGATTGGGAGGAGTAAGATGAGGGGCAGTGAGATAATAGTAAAAAATACACACACACACACACACATAGATCTCTGCACTGGCTCCTGGCACAGAGTCCCTAAATCTCTAATTTCCTAAGTGCCATAACAAAAACAAAAGCATGGGACTTCCCTGGTGGTCCAGTGGTTAAGGATCTGCCTTGCAATGCAGGGGACACAGGTTCCAGGCAATGAAGCCTTACTCTGATGCCATCTCCAGGTAGATAGTGTTAGAACCAAGTTAAACTCCAGGACACCCAGTTGGTGTCACATGCCTTGGTGTGGGGATAACTCCACACATAAAAGTGTCAGAAGTAGAGTGTTGGGGGGCTTCCCTGGAGGTCCAACGGTTAAGAGTTTACCTTCCAGCTAGCGGGGTTTGGGTTTGATCCCTGGTTGGGGAACTAAGATCCCACATGCCTTGTGGCCAAAAAACCAAAAATACAAAGCAAAAGCAATATTGGAACTAATTCAATAAAGAGTTTAGAAATCGTCCACATCAAAAAGAAAAGAAAAGAAAGTTTTAAAAAATGGGGAAAAAATGGAGTGTTCTTATGAGTAGTAATGAAGACATAGAGGGGGAAGGCAGGGTGATTTTTAAAAACAGTGGCACTGCAGAAAAAGGAAGTTGCACAAGAAAAGGATCTTTGCGCAGAGACCCCTAGGGTTCTGACTACTCAGGATGTGGTCAATAAATAGGGTGTGGGTTCTGGGTGAGCAGGTGGCCCCAGGGACTCCTCACTATGTGGAAGTGAGTGGGGTCAGAAGAGGCCAGAAACAAGTTCTCCAAAATGCAAAGAGTCCAGGGCGGGGCGTCTCAGGTCAAGGGTCTAAGGGCAGTTCTAACTTGAGCTCAGTGGTAAAGAATGTGCCTGCCAAGCAGGAGATGCGGGTTCGAACCCTGGGTCGGGAAGATCCCCTGGAGGAGGAAATGGCAGCCCACTCCAGTATTGTTGTCTGGAGAATCCCACAAACAGAGGAGCCTGGCGGGCTACAGTCCATGGGGTGGCAAAGAGTCAGACACGACTGAAGTGACTCAGCACACTTGCACAAAGTGCAAAGAGTCTGGGGAGGGGTGGCATCTCAGCTCACGGGTCTAAGGGCAGCTGTGATGTGAGGTAGGGGTGTGGCGGTCGGCATTTGGGGAGATGCTTCAAGCCCTGGGACACGACCAGCTTGTCCCAGGAGGTCACAGAGCTGAAGGACGTGTTCCCGGGGGGGACACTCACTGCACCACCTGCAGCCTGCACTTGGGGTGCCGGAGCCCCCGGCAAAGCAGCTGCATGCCCGGCAGCCCCAGGTCATTGCCACTGAGGTCCATCCTCAGTAAGTGCTTGTTGGCGATCAGCGCGGTCGTCAGGTCCCCGCAGACGGAGCTGGAAACTCGGCATCTCTTCAGCCTGGGACGGAAAGAAGAAAAGAGCCTGGTGATTTCGTTTGGGGTTGTTTTGTAAAGGGGCTTCTCAGGTGGCACTAGTGGTAAAGAACCCGCCTGTCAACGCAGGAGATGTAAGAGATGCAGATTCGATCCCTGGGTCGGGAAGATCCCCCGGAGGAGGGCATGGCAGCCCACTCCAGTATTCCTGCCTGGAGAATCCCATGGGCAGAGGAGCCGTGGGCTGTAGTCCATGGGGTCACCAAGAATCGGACACAACTGAGCAATTAAGCATGCACAGTTGATTTACAATGTTGTGTTAGTTTCAGGTATACATCAAGGCAAGGTGATTCAGCTGTACTGAATATATACATACATAAAATATATATGAATACATCTATGTATATGTATATATATTTCAGATTCTTTTCCTTTATAGGTTATTACAAAATATTGAGTAGAATTCCTTGTTCTCTACCGTAGATCCTTGTTGGTTATCTATTTTATATATGAGCTTTCCTGGTGGCTCAGAGGTAAAGAACCCACCTGCCAATGCAGGAGATGCGGGTTCAATCCCTGGGTTGGGAAGATCCCCTGGAGAAGGCAATGGCAACCCACTGCAGTATTCTTGCCAAGACTACAGTCCATGGGATCGCAGAGAGTGGGACCCGACTCAGCGACTAAACAACGACAACAAAGTGTGTATATTTTAATCTCAACCCTCTAATTTATTCCTCCTCTCCCCAGTCTTTCTTCTTTTCTCCATCACTACAAGAAGGTAATTAAGTTAAAGTGAGGTCGTTAGGGTGGACCCTAGTCCAATATGACTGGTGTCCTTATATGGAAAGGAGATTAGGACAGAGACACAGAGGAAAGACCATGTGAGGACACAGGGAGAAGGTGGCCATCTGCAAGGCAAGGAGAGAGGCCTCAGAGGAAACCAAGCCTGCTGACATGTCTATCTGGAACTTCCAGCCTCCACAACTTTGAGAAAATCAAAGTCCATCATTTCAGTCATCCAGCCTGTGGTGCTTTGTTATGGGAGCCCAAGCAAACATTATTCTATGATTTTTTTGGTTTTTTTGGCCACACCTCGTGGCTTGCAGGATTTTAGCTCCCCAACCAGGGATTAAACCTGTGCCCCCAGTAGTAGAAGCTGGAAGTCTTAACCACTGGACCACCAGGGAAGTCCCATCCTATGCTCTTTCTGATGGAGCCCCTTGAGATGGAATGGTAGGGCCCCCAGAAGCTCACAGACCAGCCTGGACTCACCTCAGGTTCTGCAGTCTGCAGTTGGGGTGTCTGAGTCCTTGACATAGCAGCTTCACCCCCCGGCTTCCCAGGGCGTTGCTGTGCAAAGCCAGCTCCACCAGGCTGGGGTTGGTGCTGAGGGCAGCAGCCAGCTGTTCGCTGTAGATGTCGGGTAAAACGTGCCTCTCGGGGCTGCAGGAAGGACAGACGGGACCGTCGGTTTACGGAGATGTTTGGCCTTTGCGTGTGTGCTCATCCCTCAGTCATCTCCCACTCTTTGCCCACCAAGTTCCTCTGTCCATGGAATTTCCCAGTAAGAAGACTTGAGTGGGTTAGCATTTCCTTCTCCCGGGCATTTTCCCAGCCCAGGGATTGAACCCACGTCTCCTGTGTCTCCTGCATTGGCAGGTGGGTTCTTTACCACTGAGCCCAAGGGCTTCCCAGGTGACACTAGTGGTAAAGAACCCACTTGCCAATACAGAAGATGTAAGAGACAGAAGTTCGATCCCTGGGTTGGGAAGATCCCCTGAAGGAGGGCATGCAAAGAGTCGGATACGACTGAAGCGACCTAGCACACACGCACGCACCAGGGAAGCTCTATATTTGAATACGGACTGAGTATTAGAAGATGTTAAGGAATTGTGTTTTTTGGTTGTTGTTTTTCGCTATGCTGATCAATTCCTGGGTGAACCCAGGCCCTTCGCAGTGACAGCGGGAAGCCCTAACCACTGAAATTGAAAGTGAATGTGAAGTCGCTCATTCATGTCTGACTCTTTGCGACTCCATGGACTATAGCCCACCAGGTTCCTCCGTCCATGGGATTTTCCAGGCAAGAGTAAAAGCACGGAGTCTTAACCACTGGACCACCAGGGGAAGCCCCAGGGAGCTCTTTAAAGCCATGCATCTGCTTGTGGTTCTCAAGTGTGGTCCCCAGGCCAGCAGCATCACTTGCTCTTCCGGTCTTCACTGTCTTTCAGTAAAGTTCGGGTGTTTCCCCCTGCTGAGCTGTCTTTTTTTTTTTTTTGGCCTTTTTTTTTTCCCATTTATTTTTATTAGTTGGAGGCTCTTATGTCAATTTAATTCTTAGGTCCAGCCAGAGACCCTAAGAAAGAAGAGGATTCTCCTTCCCCTGCAGTTCCAAAGCTGATGAAATCATTGTGAGACCGCACAACCTATTATTCCATCAGTTTTCCCACATATTTGCCTTTCCACAGCTTGCCTCAGCGGACACTCAAAACCCTTTTCTTTTGTCTTGTCACAGCCCTAAAGACCTATTGTTCTTTTGTTAAGACTGTACATAAGCCCAAATTCAGTTTGCTTAAAATTTATTTTTAATTGGAGGATAATTGCTTACAACAATGCGTTACTTTCTGCCGCACACCAACATGAATCAGCCATAGGTATATATATGTCCCCTACCTCTCGAGCCTCTCTCCCGTCTCCCCCGCATCCCACCCCTCTAGGTGGTCACAGAGCACCAGGTTGAGCTCCCTAAGTCAAGCAGCAAATTCCCACCGGCCGTCTAATTTACATATGACAAGGTAATTTACATATGGCAAGGTAATTTACATATGGCAAGGTATATGTTTCCATGATACTCTCTCCATTCCTCCCACCCTCTCCTTCCCCCACTGTGTCCACAAGTCCATTCTCTTTGCCTGCCTGTGTCTCTGCAAATAGGTGCCTCAGTCCCATCTCTCTAGAGTCCATACATATATATATGCATAAGCCCAAATTCTAAGGAGCCGTTTGGATTAGTTACTTCTGGCTCCATCCACATGGAAGTGGGAACGAACCTGCCAATAAACTTTTCTTTTTTTTTTTAGCTTGTGAATCTGTCTTTTGTAAGTCTAATTTATAAGCCCCCAGTTTCACAACCTAAGAGAGGAGAAGGAAAAAGAATGTTTCCTTTCCACTCCACTTAGGTAGAAATCGTTGCTTCCAAGGTGACCCCTCAGGGAACCCAAACCAAAACAAAGTCGTAGCCAAACACACACACAAAGAACATCACTTGCTCAGTTTCCTTCACTGACCACTTCCTTTCATGTTGCCCTTCCCCCTCCAAGTCACTGTTATATAACGTTACCCGGTTTTACTTTCCTCATAATAAATTCACTCTGTTTGCAACTACTTAATCATCAATTTCATTTCATTTGCCTATTTCTTTATTTACTATTCTTTGTCTATCTTCTTTCTCCATTGGATGTTTGCTCTATTAGGGGTGCTGGCTGGCTTATTCATACTGTCTTCAATCTATTAAAAAAAAAAAAGAAAAGCCCAGCAACAAGGACCTACTTACTGTATAGCACAGGGAACTATACTCAATATCTTCTAATAACTTATAATGGAAAATAATCTGAAAAAGAATATACATTTATATGGATGTTTCATACATTATATGAATATACTGAGGGATTGAGTCACTTTGCTGTACATCTGAAACTAACATAGCATTGTTAATCAACTACACCTCAATGTGAAAATAATTTAAGAAAAAAAAGACCATATAGTAACTTCAGAAAATCACTGAGAATTCTCTGGAGGTCTAGTGCTTAGGACTGTGTGCTGTCACTGCCAGAGGCCCAGGTTCCATCCCAGGTCAGGGAACTAAGATCTCCTAAGCCTGTCAGGGCAAGGACAAGGAAAAAAAAAACTGAAAAAAAGGGAGTGTGCAGTCCACAGGTATAAGGCCTTGGATAATANCTGTGTGCTGTCACTGCCAGAGGCCCAGGTTCCATCCCAGGTCAGGGAACTAAGATCTCCTAAGCCTGTCAGGGCAAGGACAAGGAAAAAAAAAACTGAAAAAAAGGGAGTGTGCAGTCCACAGGTATAAGGCCTTGGATAATATATGTTGACTGGATACATTCTCCTTGACATGGGCCGCTATTTAGTCCTGATAAGTATTGCTCAGGGCTATCTTGGTGGCTTAGGGGTAAAGAATCCACCTGCCAATGCATGAGACCTAGGTTCCATCCCTGGGTTGGGAAGATCCCCTGGAGCAAGGCATGGTGACCCACTCCAGTATTCTTGCCTGGAGAATCCCATGGACCGAGGAGCCTGGCAGGCTACAGTCCATGGGGTTGCAAAGAGTTGGACACAACTGAGCAACCATTAGTGTTTTTGTTCTTGTTGTTTAAGAACAAGAAAACGACCTGGGCACTGTTGACACTTTGGAGCCAAATCGTTCTTAGTGGTGGAGGTTGTCCTGTGTGTTGTAGGATACTTTTGCAGCATTCCTGACCTCCACCCACTAGACCCTAGCATCTGTCTGATCTCCCCTAACTGTGACAGCAAAATCCTTCTCTGCATTTTGCCAAATATCTCCTAGGATGGAGGAAAAAGTCACCAGCTTTGAGAACATGAACGTGGCTAAGGGCATGAGCTCGGGGAGTGAGCCCCAGCAAATACTTACGACGTTGCCAGGGGCCACCTCACCCCGTCCTCTCCATCGGCTTGGTAGGCAGCTGCGAACAGCTGCAGCACCTCGGCATTCCTGCAGCTCTTCACACAAAAGGAGGACACCATGTGTTCCATCTTGGTGGTGATGTTGTTGACCACGACCACCTGGAAGTGGCTGAGGGCTTGTTGGATGAATTCCTCCTCCTGGAGCTCGTACAGGCAGCTGAAGACCTCCAGGGCGCCCCGCTTCAGGGTGGACCCCTCGCTCAGAGCCTTGCGGCGGATCCACTCGAGCAGCTCGGTCTTGACGCCAGGCGAGACCTTCCAGCCCAGCGTCTTCTCCAGGTAGCTCCTGGTCTCCTCGTTCAGGAGTCCAAACAGGAAACGGACTGTGAGGGCTAAGAAGCTCCTCTCGGAGAAGGCGTACTCCGTCAGCAACCTGCTGAGGTCCCGCTTGGGGCCGGACCCGCTCGTTCCATCATCCAAGACGTAGTGCATGGCCGCGAAGAACTCCTGGAAACTCTGGTGGATGAAACTGTAGAGCGTCTCGCAGTTGATGTCCTTCTGGAAGATGTTCATGTTGAGGAAGGAAGAGACGTCGGCCGCGTCCAGGCCGTGCTCCCGGAGGTCGCGCTCCGCAAAGAGGATCTTCTGTTCCCAGAGGCCGTGGGCCGCCAGGGCACACAGCCCCCTCCGGTTGGGCGGGGACGGCAGGGTGGGGGTCCCCGGCTTGGGTTGCATCAGACTCAGGAGGTAGAGCAGGTACACGGCCGTGGTGGTCCTCGACCTCTGTCTTAAGAGCCCCCCGCCCTCCAGCTGCTGCTTGAGGCAGGTGCAGACCACCCAGCACACCATGGGGACAAAGCATAGAGTGAAGAGGGGCTCGTCCTCTCTCACGAAGCTGAAGACCTGTCCGGCCTGCTCCCCGTCGTGGAAATACCTGTGGAAGTACTCCTTGCGCTCGGCCTCGGAGAAACCCAGGATCGCCACATGCCTGGGATGCTCGAGCGAACGCTGGAGCTTGGCCAGAGCGGTGGGCCGTGTGGTGATGAGCAGAGACAGCTCTGGCAGGAGCTTCTTACGAATCAGGCTGCCCAGGAGGACCTCTGCGGGCACTTTCTTCTCCCAGCAGAGGCACCAGGCGCCCTGCGGGTCATGGAAGGAGGGTCTGAGCTCGTCAAAGCCGTCCATGATGACGAGGAGACGCTCAGGCACACGGACGAGCTCATGGAGAGGCGCGCAGGGCTCGGGCCAGCAGCCGGCCAGGAGGTCTCGCGCGCTGCGCTCTGCGGTGCCCAGGTTCAACTCCCGGCAGTTGATGTAGCAGACGTAGTCGAATCTGTCTTGGAAGAGCTTCCCGTCGGCCCAGTCGAGCATCACTTTGTGGGCCAGCATGGATTTGCCCATGCCCGCCGCGCCCTGCAGGACCACGGTGCGCGGGGGTTCCGGGCGCTCTTCATCTGGCTCGAAGAGGGCCTCGATCTGGATGAGGCTGGCCGGCTGGCCGGCGGTCCCCGCATGTCCCCGGCCTGTGTCTAAGAGCTTCTGCTGGGCCCCCCTGGGGCTGGAGTGTTCCTTCGCCAGGAGGAGCCGCGTGTACCGGTGGCTGAGGTTGACGCACTCCCCCAGGCGCGCGTTGCGATCTTCCATGAGCCGGAATTTCCTGCGGACGAAGTCCCGGTAGGTTTCCTGGGGATCTAACAGAGCGGAATGAAGGACCGTGAAAGATAGATTGGTCAGTAGCCTTTAATGAATGCATGCATTAATGCAAACCATGGTCCAGTGAACTATCTGCTTTGCTATGACCTTGGAAGTCTTTTCTAGATGGAGCCTGGAAATTTTGGTACTTTGGTACAACAACACTGATCTTGCCTCCTTGTGGGAAGCAGAAGCATCAACATGAGAACTATTCTTTTTTTTTTTTTTTTTTTTTTTATTTTNCTGCAATGCGGGAGACCTGGGTTCGATCCTTGGGTTGGGGAGATCCCCTGGAGAAGTGGACAGCTACCCACTCCAGTATTCTGGCCTGGAGAATTCCATGGACAGAGGAGCCTGGTGGGCTACAGTTCATAGGGTCACAAAGAGTCAGACACAACTGAGCGACTTTCACACTTCACAGTTAATACGTGGCCCAGTGGTGAAGAATCTGCTTGCCAGTGCAGGAGATGTGGGTTCAGTCTCTGGCTTGGGAAGATTCCCTGGAGAAGGAAATGGCAACCCACTCCAGTATTCTTGCCTGGGAAATACTATGGGCAGAGGACCCTGGTGGGCTGCAAGCCATGGGGGTCTGGAAAGAGTCAGACATGACTGGGAACACCTGAACGGAGAGTTGATTTATTTTACAATGTGGTACCAATCTCTGCTGTGCAGTGACATGACTCACTTATACACATGTAGACATTCTTTTTCTAAATATTCTTTTCCATTATGATTTATCACAGGATATTGAATATACTTCACTGTGGTACAGTAAGACCTTGTTATTTATCCATCCTATATAGAATAGTCTGTATCAGTTAATCCAAAACTAGTCCTTCCCTCCCCCACCCTCCGCCCCCTTGGCAACTAGGAATCTGTTCTCTAGGTCTGTGAGTCTGTTTTGTGGATAGGTTCATTTGTGCCATATTTTAGATTCTACACTTAAGTGATACCACATGGTATTTGTCTTTCTGACTTCACCTAGTACGATAATCTCTAGTTGCATCTATGTTGCTGCAAATGGTATGATTTCATTCTTTCTCATGGCTGAATAGCATTCCAGCTTCTTCAGGCTGGAATGAATAAAGAAGATGTGATACTTTATCCATTCAACTGTCGATGGACATTTAGGTCATTCCCATGTCTTGGCTATTGTGAATAGTGCTGCTGTGAGCAAAGGGGTGCATGTATCTTTTTGAATTAGAATCTTGTTTGGGTATATGCCCCAGAGTGGGATTGCTGGATCGTATGGTAATTCTAGTTTTCTGAGGACCCTCCATGCTGTTTTCCATAGTGGCTGCACCAGCTTACATGGCTTGTGGCTCACCTTTTCTTGGAGCGGCAGGCAAGACTTCCAGAGAACATGCTGACTCGCTGCCCAGTGAGGGTGGGGTACCAGGTGGAGCGTCTGGAAGAGAAATTTCGCCAGATCAGCTGGCATGTATCTGACTAGCCTTCCACGACATTAACTTCCATTACATCAAACTGTCTACATGATAATAATTCACTGCCCACGTGGGTATCGATCACAGTGATTGGCACCTCCATCCATCTGATTAACCCCTCACCCAGGGAGCTCTGAGTCAGCTTGGATTCCTCCTCCCCTTCAGCCCCGGACCACAAACTAGCATTCTTTGAAATGTCTTTTACACATGCATACCTAGCATATTTTTTGATTCAATACTTATTTATTGAGCATCTATTCTTTCATGGACTCCAAAATATATATGTGTTAAGCACTTAGTATGAAAAGTGGGGTTTCCAAGCCAGCCAGGGTGATGGAGGATGACGGCAGGGGGAGGGAGAAAATGAGTAGAGGAATCACAGAAAAGATAGTGCCTTCAGGGTTCTGACGGACGAATAGGAGTTTCCCAGGAGCAGAAGATAGAGGGAGGTACTCCAGGCAGCCCGAACAAAGGCCAGGGGGATGGGCTAGAGGTGGCCCTTGGGAGCCCAGCGATCATCAGGAAGGAGATGGGGGGATCTTCCCCAGTGGTCCAGTGATTAAGAATCTGCCTTCCAATGCAAGGGGCACAGGTTCAATCCCCGGTGGGGGACCTAAGATTTCACAGGCCTCCAGGCAACTAGAGAGAGAAACTGACATGCTACAAGAAGGACCCCACGTGCCACAATTAAGACCAGGTGCAGCCAAATTAATTAATTAATTTTAAAACAGGAAGCAGCAGAAAAATCTTTTAAAAAACACTGCAAAACAAAAACACAAAAGAAGGGAATTGGTGGGTGGCAGCCTCATCCTTACCCCTCCCTAGGTCCTCTCTCTGGCCTCTCTCCCACAGGTCCTTCCTGTTGATCCGCTGAAAGATGCCGAGGGTTAGCAGCCAGGCCTCCCGCGGCCCGAAATGAGCCGCCAGCAGCTGAGCCATTTCCAGGGGACCCGCCGGTTCCATCCGCCCCCAGGGGATCTTGCCCTCCCCCATTTCTGTCGCAGTCCCCAGGTATAACTTGAACTTCTTCAGCTCCGTGGCCTCCAGTTCCTCCAAGTAGGTGCAGAGGCGACCCAGGTCACTCTTGAGCAGGGTTGGGGACATGGGCGCGCCGTGGGCACTCCAGGAGAGAGGCTGGAGGGGTGTTTCTATACCCGGGAGGAGCGTGTCCACATGCCCCGCACTGATCACCGCAGGCAGAGATGTGAACGCCCGGACTGTCCTTCTGTTGAAATAGCGCCTCCTCCTCCTTCAATTCCTTCCCACCCACTCTCCACCACGTCCCCACCTCACCATCAGGTCCACTTTGAAGAGGAGGAAGTGGAGACAGATTGGGACATCGCAGGAGGCTTTGAGTCGTAGTGAGAAAGAACTTTCACTTCTCTCCCTTCTTCCCCGCTCCCTGGACCAAACACTCTTTGTCCTGTCTACTGTCTTCTTTGCCTCACTGGGTCTGAGGTAGATCGTTATCAAAATAGATACTGCCCTTGGGGGTGAGGGGACGTTTCCCTGGTGGTGCTAGAGGTAAAGAGCCCGCCTGCTAATGCAGGAGACATAAGAGAGGTGGGTTCGCTCCCTGGGTCAGGAAGAAACTCTGGAGAAGGGCATGGCAACCCACCCCAGTATTCTTGTCTGGAGAATCCCATGGACAAAGGAACCTGGGGGGCTATAGTCCATGGGACCGCACAGAGTGGGACATAACTGAGGCAACTTAGCACACATGCTTCCTCACGGGAGAATTAGACCTCCTTTCCGATGATATCAGACTCGGATGTGTCGCTTGCATTAACCAATGTCATGGGAGCAAATGTGAACATGAGCTGTGGGTGAAGGTGAGCAAATTTCTCTTCCACGTATTGATAAGGGAGGCAGAAGCTCATAGGGGGACATAGATTCTCCACCATCACACAGCTAAACAAGAGCGCAGGCAGATATCTCATCTCCTTCAGACTAGGAAGCTGCCCTCGGGTGAATGAAAAGGGCATAGTTGGGACTTCCCTGGTGATCCCAGGGCTCAGAATCCCTCTTCCAGGGCAGGGGGTGTGGGCATGATCCCTGCTGGGGGAGCTAAACCCACAGACTCTGGAGTCAGCCTGCCACAATTAAGACCTCACGCAGCACACCCTCCCACCCCCAAGAAGAAACAGTCTGGAGAAGGATGTAGCTCAAACAGCTATCAGGTGTTAATGCTGGGGAAAGATTTAGGTTGGATGAGGAGAAAGGAATGATCTTATAATTGTATATTCTTTTTTTTTTAAAGATGTATTTATTTATTTTTGGCTGTGCTGATTTTTCATTGCTATATGTGGGTTTTCTCTGGTTGTGGCGAGTGGGGGCCATTCTTCCTTGTGGTCCTTGGGCTTGTCATTGTGGTGGCTTCTCGTTGTGGAGCAGAGGCTTTAGGGCGATGGTCAGTCGTTGTGGCCTCGGGCTTAGTTGTTCCACGGTACATGGGATCTTCACTGACCAGGGATCAAACCCATGTCCCCTGTGTTGGCAAGCAGATTCTTACCCACTGTGCAAGGCTCCATGCTAAGTCACTTCAGTCGTGTCTGACTCTTTGCGACCCTATGGACTGTAGCCCGCCAGACTCCTCTGTCCTTGGGATCCTCCAGGCAAGAATGCTGGAGGGGTTTGCCATGCCCTCTTCCAGGGGATCTTCCTGACCTAGGGATTGAACCCACATCTCTTGTGTCTCCAGCATCGGAAGGCAGGTTCTCTACTACTAGAGCCACCTGGAAGCCCCTTATTCCACCAAGGATGTTCAGGAAGCCAGTGAGTGGTTTTGAACACGGCAACAAGGTGAAGAAGGGGTTTGGGGGAAATGCTTTGGTTTCTAGGTCTTTCCAGAGACAGTGATGCAATGTGGACACCCTCTACAGTCTTCACATTCCTCTCCCCCGACCCCTCACCCTGGGGCTTTTTCTGGAAAAGTGAGAGCCTGAAAAAGCTTTCTAAGCTTCACCCCAAACTTTTACAGGCTTGGTGAGGAAATGAAGAAATAGGACAAAGCCTAAGTCCTCCCGTAGTCTATGTAAACTGGGAATTTCAGAAATTCGGTGTTTGGCTCTGATGCTTACATGTAACATGCTTTAATTGTCCCGTTCCCACTTCCCTCTTTCCTCAACCACCATCCACACCAGAAGTCTGCCTCTTCAATTACTGGTGCTTCTAGAGGCAAAGACAGGACCCCTGTGCTTAGCAGAAAGGGGAGGGATTTGTGAGGGCCAGTCATGTTTTCTGGACTCAGAATAGAGCTGGATTCATATATAAACAATATGGCTTTTTCATGTAATAAACTATAGTGAAATAAAATAATATATATGTATTATATGACTGAATCACATTGCTGTATACCTAAAATTAACACAATACTGTAAATCAACAATACTTCAAAAGAAAATTTTAGTGGTTAAGGAATGGAACTGGGGTTAGTGAACATTTCTGGGTACAATTGCAAAATCATGTCTCCAGGCAGTGATTCTCAAACCCTAATGTGCATCACCAGGAGACCTTATTGAAATAAAAATTCTATTTTAGAGGGTGTGAGGGTCTACATGTCTCTCTTTCTTTTTATCAATTCTATTGGAGTATAGCTTCTTTACAGTGTGTGTTAGCTTTGACTGTACAGCAAAATGAATCAGCCATACATGTACACAGATCCCCTCTTTTCTGGATTCCCTTCCCGTGTAGGTCACCATGGATCGCTGAACGGAGTCCCCATGTGGCACAGTAAGCTCTCACTGTTATCTGCTATGCACATATGTCAATCCCAGCTTCCCAGTTCATCCCTGCATTCCCCTTGGTATTCGTACATTTGTTCTCTGCATCTGTTTCTGCTTTGCAGATAAGTCCATCTGCACCATTTTTCTAAACTCCACACATGGGCAATATTATATATTTGTTTTCAAGGTTCAGCACGTAATAGTATATATCAGTACTTCATTCCTTTTTTTTTGGGGGGGGGGCTTCCCTGGTGGCTCAGATGGCAAAGAATCTGCCCACAATGCGGGAGACCTGGGTTCAATCCCTGGGTCAGGAAGATCCCCTGGAGAAGGAAATGGCAACTCACTCCAGTATTCCTGCCTGGAGAATTCCATGGACAGAGGAGCCTGGTGGGCTACATTCCATGGGATTGCAAAGATTTGGACATGACTGAGCGACTAACACTTCATTCCTTTTTATGGCTGAATAATATTCTACTGTGGGACTTCCCTGGGGGCTCAGTGGTGAAAAATCTGCCTGCAATGCAGGAGAGCCAGTTCCATTCCTGGGTCAGGAAGATCCCCTGGAGGAGGAAATGGCAACCCACTCTAGTATTCTTGATGGCAATTCTCATGGACAGAGAAGACTGGTGGACTGTGTGGTCCATGGGGTCACAAAGGAGTCAGATATAAGTTGTTGACTAAACAGCAACAATATTCCTTTGTACGATATGGAATGGTTTTGAGCATGGGAGGGATGGAGTCAGACCTGCACCAGGAAAGATGCTTCAGGGTGATAATAGACAATGAACCAAAGGAGGCAGCCTGGAGCTGTGGTGCAGGCTCTGAGACGGGACAGGGAATGCGTTCAAGGAATTCAGGGGTTAGTCACATGAGTTCTCAGGCAGGGGGTGAGAAAGAGAAGGTGGTGCTAGGCTGCACCCTCTTTAAGGGTTAGACCAGGGCTTCCCTGGTGACATGCTCATTACCTTACCTCTTCCCCTCCTTTCCCAGGAGGGAAAAACATAGTTCTAGGAATTCAGAGGGGAGGGAAGCTGAATCACTAAGCTGTTTCCTAATACTCTTTCAAGAAAACCCTTCTTTTTCAGGGGAAGGAAGAGACTTGGCAATTTCAGGGCCTTCTGGGGCTCAGCACTCTTTCTGGAAACACAGGAAAGGAGCCATTCCAGTGTGTGATTTCAACTTCTGCTTCTACAGAAAAGTAGGGACATTTTTTTTTTTTTTAAAGCCAATTCAGGAGACACATAAAATACTTCTTGAGACTTTTTCCCTCTCACCAAAAAGATGTGATTTTCTGATTGTAGACAATGACATCTCTGTCTCTCTCTCTCTTTTTTGGCATGTGAGATTTTAGTTCCCTCCCCAGGCATGGAACCTGTGCCTCCAGCAGCTCATTCTTAACCTCTGAACCTCCAGGGAAGTCCCAGCAATGCCATATCTTTATTTGTAAATATGTTAATAAGTGGAAAGAAATGTAAGGAGGTTAAGAAATTTGGGGGCTTCCCAGGTGGCTCAGCAGTAAAAAATCCACCTGACAATGCTGGAGATGCAGGTTTGATCCCGGCATCAGGAAGATCCCCTGGAGGAGGAAATGGCAACCCACTCGAGCATTCTTGCCTGGAGAAGCCCACGGGTAGAGGAGTGTGGTGGGTGACCGTCCACAGGTTCGCAAAGAGTCAGAAAGGACTGAGCATCTGAGCATAAGCTGGATAAAGTATGCTGAAGAATCTCTGGCAGAAGTCTGAGACATGATTTTCATGTTGACTGTAAACCTAAATTCCCTCATGTAGGGGAGACATATCCTAGTTTTTTTAGACATATCCTTGCTTTTTCTTTAAGAAGTTTTTTTTCTTTTTTTTTAATTTGGCTGTGTTGGGTCTTAGTTGGGGCACATAGGATCTTTGTTTCATTGTGGTGTACGGACTCGCTAGTTGTGGTACTCAGGCTATTTTTGGCATGAGGCCTTAGTTGCTCCTCGGCAAGTATACCCCCAGGGATTAGACCCACGTCCCCTGCATTGTAAGACAGATCCTTAACCACCGGACCACCAGATAAGTCCCAGTGATTAAAGGGAATTTTTAATTGTCTTACTCTATGCGATATGATGAAAACTCTCTCTGCCCCCATTCAGCTCCATCATCCGTATAATCTACGTTACTCACAAACGCATTGTAAGCTGGACTTGCTTTTACATGAGATGTGACAAAATGCTGAGTTCTTAGCAACTGAGTGAGACGACAGGCTGCTCCGTGGGCTATCACAGTGGTGGTCTACACACACCCTTGTTGTTCAGCTGCTAAGTCACATGTGACTCTTTTTGAGCCTATGGACTGTGGCACGCCAGACTTCCCTGTCCTTCACTATTTCCCAGAGTTTGCT